GGAAGAAGGGGATGCAGGACCGCCAGTAGTAGAGGGGGAATATCCATCTACACTGATGGTTCATAGATGGAACAAGCATTCGGAGCGGGTGTCTACTCGAAAGACCTGCAGTTCAACCGGTCCTTCCGTCTACCTAACGACGGCAGTGACCTTCAAAGGGAGATCTATGCTAAGATAGGGCGGCTGGTATTTTACTTAGTAGTAGAGCTCCAAAAGACAAAGCAGTCACATGAAGCCATCGGACATCTCAATTAATTGCAGAATGTACGAGTTAGCTTATTAATCTAATTTTAACCCATCATAGCCATCAAAGTGAGGGTTGGGATATAATTATACTTAGTTCTATAAATTGGTCAGTGATAGAAAAAATTGGTTTTTTGGAGCCTTCGGGGAATATTTTTTTGTGGTCTGAAAACGTTGAATACTAAAAGAGTAATTTAAAAAACTGAAAATAATAAAATGTCAATTATTTTAATATCAAAAAGTTATCGTATCCCCCCTCATAAATCCCGAAAAAGATACTAAAAAAATTATCACGCGTTTGATTGATTTTGGGTAGTGGTAGTGGGTAAGGGTTTATTTGCCTTGGTAGCTCTTTAGACTGTCTTTGATTGAGTCGTCTCCAAAAACCCTAAGCAAAGTACTCGTCTAGTGCTCTCAATGCTTGAGATAAATAGCTGCCTAATAATGAAATCCTGCCAGAGATACCTTATCTTTACGGCACATACAGCGATCGGCGCTCTAGCATAGCTCATTCGCCACTACGTCTCACACCGGCGGGCTTGCTTTTTTTTCTGGTATGCTTGCATTAATACTTTGGGCTGTAAAACCACATACATATGTTTGCACATTAAGATGGTAAAAAAGGTAAAATCAGAGTTTTAATGTTCTCAGCCCCTGTGATTGTTCTACAACGAAAATAAATATACCCGTTTTTCAGTTATTATAAAAAAGTATCTAGAGGTCGCTCAAAGCGGTTATTTAAACATTTTATAAAATTAACTATTATTTTTTGATTTCGAAATAAAAGAATAGGTATTTGTTTTCGATATAGAGCAAGCCTAGAAGAGGAGAGCATTAAAATTTGGGCTTTAATTTTTCCACATGCATTTTTGAACTACCCTAATGTAGATAGACGACTGAAAACCTAAAAACAATTCACATTTGTTCGCATGTACGAAATTTCACATCTCTATTGCAACACGACACAACACACACACAAACACACACACACACACACACACAAGCGCACGCATTTCCATTTTCGATTGCATAAAAGCTCGACGCCGTAAGTGGCAGATTTACACGAGAAAAATCACACGAAAATGTAATAAGCAAAATGCTAAAACAATAAACTTATGTTCACAGGGAGCATGTTTGCTTGCAAGAGTGTGCAAGTGTGAATTTGCACTTTTCATACGTGCAATTTTTCGAGCATATTCAAGCAATATGCCATCCGTTACTGTTACACTGTTGCATGCAACATTTTGCCGCAACACATAAAATGCCGGCGCCGTGAATGATTTGCGGCATTGCATGTCACGTTGATTATGTCCCTGTAGGGAAAATCTTTAGTTCTGAACTGGTGCGCTTCTAATACATTCAGACCCGCAGTACTGGTACGCGATAAATCTCTTTTGCATGCCAACAACTAGCGAATTTAACATGGCGATGTCCTAGGATGTGTCAATTGCCCCACGTTGTATGCCTTTTTCGATAGTACCGAACTAGTCCTAAATGCTACAGTTCCGAACTAGTTCTAAAATCGACAGACGAAAGAAAAAAGTATCGTGATTTTTCAATCTTTTCGGTTTTTCCGTGTTAATTATTTTCATACATTATTTATATACCTTTGGCTGTAGTTGAGTTTGAGAGGTGCTTATTTTGAACGCGTGGGGATTTAGTTACTATCGGACTGGTTCGTTTTTAGCGTTAAAGATCTTGTACGGAACTAGAAATTTGATTCACTAGTCCGCGGTTTCCCTGCAGGGGTTTTACACGTACTATATTTGTAACATGTGAGCTTGTGTGTGTGTGTGAGAGATTTTGGAATATTTTTTGTTTTTATTTGAAAATTTTTGCTTCGTTGTAATGCTGAAGTGTGAAGAATTAGCAACTTAGTGAAGCCACTCATTGCTAGGCATTAATTACGATTGCCTAACAATTGACTATGCAATCAGTGATGGAAATTTTCAAGCAATGCTGAGGTTTAAATTTTTTTGTTGTGTGTTTATAGTATGACTGATACATATTAACTGTGTCTGAATATGCTAGTGACCTCATTGTGGCGATTACTGGAAAACTTAATTTCAAAGTTGATGTGTTTAGTCAGAATTAAAAGAGATCAGAGTGTCAGTGAAGAGCAGTCTGGCATAGTGCATGTTTTTAGTTTCATCAAATTTCAAATCACCCTATACCGATGAAAAAAGTTCTTAAGTAAAAAAAAAAAAAAACTTTACCACACATCTACAGGTAAGGTCTTTAATTTGACCTCTAATTTTTGAAATCCCTTTACACACATGTATTTCAATAAACTGATGAACTTATATGAATTTGATTGATGTTCGATGGCAACCCTCCTGAATAAATGAATAATTTTAATGTATCTTTGTAAACACGTAGCAACCCTCTTCAAATATTCCAAATGCTCAAACTAAAGGTTTCTTAACATTCTTTTGTTTGACTACGGTATTTTTATATTTCATATACTTTTTGTATTAGTTAATTAAGTTAAACCTTTCAAACAGGTGGCAGGCCTCTTCAAAAGTATTTTCAAGCTTAATGCTTGTTGATTCTCCTTCGTCTGACATTGCGATACATATTTAAATTAACTGATGAATTAAGTGGAATTTGATTTTTTAAACATGCGGCAACCCCGCTATTTACAGTTCAGAAATAAAAGTTTTGCAAACCCCCTTCGACTGATACCCATATTTTAAACTTACTAAATAATTTCAATTTAACTTTTTAAACAGGTGGCAACCCTCTGTCAACATCTCAAAGATATTCTTAGCGTTCAAACTAAGGATTTCTTAACTCTCCTTCGTTAGACATCCATATTTTGATATTTCGTATATTTCAAATTACTACTTTCTGCAACCCCTTTCATTTGGTACCCATATGGTGATACATATTTTTTTTACCTAATATGATTTTTTAAATAGGTGGCAACCCTCCTATAGCTAAGAAACAAAGCTTTTCAAAACCATTTCGGTTGATACCCATTTTGTAATAATTGATTTATTTTTTTTAATAATTTGAATATAATTTTTTAGAAGGTGGCAACTCTTCGAAAAAATAAAACCTTATGTGCAGTCCAAGCAATTTAATTTGACTACTCATTTTGGAAAATCGAACGAACGGCGCAGATATGATGACATTGATTAGTAAATAATTTGAATTTAATTGTTCAACAGGTGGCAACTCCTTTCCAAAAAATGAAACCGGTCTGCACATTTTCAGGCCAAGCGCTATAATTTGACACCTCATTTTTGAAAGTCGAGCGAGCAATGCAGATCTTTTAACCTGAACAAAAAATGCCTTCGCGTATTATATATATAGATACTATGGACCATAGTGAGTTGCGCAATGATAAGACCACAAAATATTGATAAATTTTGACTTTTTTCAAATTAATTTTATTTATTTTTTCCAAAATTTTGTTCTTTCTTTAACAAAAACCATATAAACTCAAGCTTCAAACTTTTGTGCCGAATTAAAAAAAAAATCAAATTTTCATTAAAATTTTACACTTTTTGTTCAAAGTTTTTAGAAAAGTTTTGGGTATGCAATTTTATAGCCCATTCAAATCTGGTAAAGTGCAAGTTTAAATGGCTACAATGGCGTTGGCAAGTTGCGTTGATTTTTGGCAATTTTTTTTGTTGACGGTGTTGTGCATTTTCTTCAATTTCGCATTTTTTGTATACGTGTCGAGGAAAATGCGCAACACCGGCAATAAAAAAGAATGATTAAAAACAACGGTAGTTTGTAGCCACTTCGCTTTTTATCTGCGGCATCTTCTAAGCAAGAAACGGTGCTGCCTTCGTTGGCAGGTGGCAAGGTGAATTCAAAATAAGGTGATAACAGGAGTACATATAAAGAAATTTCATGTATTTTGTTTTTGCTTTAGCGGCATCAAATGGCAAAATCATGAAGAATATGTGTCGAAAGCGTATACAAATAAATCAATTCACCAAAGTATTGAAGTCAGAAAACCATAGAAAATTTCACAAAATCTGGCTAGTTTCTAGATAATTGAAGCTGCTGAAGAAATAAAATCACTGATGAGATAGCCAACTTTAGCTTGGAAATGCAAACCAATGAGCGGCACAACCTCTATAAAATAAAAAGTTCTAAGCTAGTTCTGAAAGCCACATCAAATTGTTGATGGACCCAACGAGTCCAAATATTTCGATTACCATAGGTCAGTTTCTCAAAGTCTGGTTAACACTAACTGCAGATTGAACCTCGTTTTCGACGTGTTCGACCCCATAACATATAACAGGGAGTCGATAACGCTATTTAACCTGTAGTTAGTGTCAACCAGACATTGAGAAAGTGGCCCTAAAAGTGCAAGCTAGCACGAAGATAAAGACTTATTAATGCAAATCCTTTTATGCCGATACCCCGGTCTCCCGCCAGATACATATATCGCCTTTGAGAATATTTCGGTTTTCAGTCAAAGTCGACTCAAATATTTCCCATAGGTTGGCCTCCAAGCGTAGGTGAAGCAGTTGGAAATTCTTGATTTTATAGCCTCATAGGAAAGAATTTCAAGAAAAAAAAATTCTTAGTGAAAGCAAGCTTCTAATTTATTATCAAGGCGCAATTAATCACTCCACCAACTCTTCAGCTGACAAGGAAAACGTAATAGAAAAAATATTGAAAACAAATTTGAAAGACTACAAAACATCAAAAAATTATAAAACAAACAAACTAGAATTGGGTTTACACAGAAGAAAATTTGGAGTTTTTGGAAAATTTTTTGATTTATACGACAGATGGATACGAATAGAGATAATCAGCAGAAAGAAGAAACACAGGATGGGGAAAAGGATGACGACGAGGACGCACAAGCAGAAAATAAACACCAAACGGAGAGAACTAACGCATGTCCATCTCCAACTGATAGCTTAGATCGTGCCAGCGAATCGGAAAAAGACACAGACACCGAGGATGATGAAGATAGTTTGCACGTTGTGTCCAGCGTAAGAGAGCTAAAACCTCCGCTGGCTGTAGTAATTCTAGAGGGCACACACACAACAAGCACGACCACGGAAACGTTGGCGAGTATGACTAGCACTGCGAGAATGCAAAATTACGTAAACTTCGAGGAGATAGTTGAAGAACTCGACATACACACGCCATCCACGAGTCAAGTGGTGGACAATGTGAGGGAGTATGTTAAGCAGATCGAAAGTCGGTTGGAGGATGAAGAAACCACTGTGTGCAACTCACCGCGACATGCAACATCACCACAGCCCAGCGCTGTACAAATTGTAGAGCTTCCAAGAGAAACGCTTACATTGGCGACCATCAAAGGCGCATCGCAGCCGATCTTTACCGACAAACCAAGCGAGGAGAGCGAAATCGAACGCACCGCAAATAACGAAGTAGAACGCATTGTAGCTGAGAATTTAACGCCAACTGCTATGCGCGAACGACCCGATTTTCATCAGGTGGAGCGCGAAAATCAAGAGATCGCCGAGCGTTTTAAGCAAATCATGGAAATGTTTGACAGTTTCACCAAAAATCTCGAAAGTCTTGAAATGCCAGCTATAAAAACCGCAGAGAAAAAAGAAGCGGAAAAGTCAGCGTTGCCATTGCGCAGGCGCCTAAGCTTCAAGGGTTTACACAGCGCTGAGTTGGCTGCGGCCGAACATGCCGGCGGCGTGAGCAGCAGTAATGTGTATAACGAGTTCTGTGTAGAAGTGCATGGCGATCGCAAAGATAATGCTGCGTTAGCCGCAGCGAAAGGTAAGAGAAAACAAGTAGATTGATTTTAGCATTAAAAACAACAAAGAAATTAATTTGCAAATTGCAGAAACCACGACGAAGCAAAGTCTTGCGCACAAATTCTACCACCAATCTAGTGCCGGTAGTAGCGCGCAACCGCGAAAGACTGAAGCCGCTTTGGATCCAATGTGTCGCGACATAGCCACCACAGTCAGTGGCCTGGAGTTGCTCAGTGAAGAGCCACAACCGTGGTCGCACACCACAAAACCGCGTGCGTTGAAGCTAGGCGCACAAGACACGCAAAGTTTCACGACCATCGGTTGTCAAACATCTGCCGACTACTTGCAAGCGCAAGCGACTTCCTCAGCCAGCACGTCCTTTTGCAATTTACCATCATTTTCGAAAGACTACTCACCGACTGATGATGGCATTGTCAATGCGCTCATTATTGATAGCATAACTGAAGCATCCACCAGCTCGAACGCAGCAGCTGACATCCGCTTATTCACGGATGTCACTGGCGACAGCGACGTTACTGTCATAAAAGCGCAGCGTAAAATTATTGCCACATCCGATCAGTCGGCATTGGTGAAGATACGCGAACCCCCTACAATAGTTAATTTACCGGATGATACGAACGCGCCGCGCGTCACCTCCGTTGTCAACGATGCCACACCGATCGATGCGCCCTGCGAACGCACCTACCACACCATACACATCGAGGCCAACTCCACGCCCTCGTCGAGTGAGTTGCGTCGCGCGCCATTATGCTCTCGCCTCTGGAATGTTTTTACCGATTTCTGTGCCGCTGTCTGCCTCTGTCTACAGGTTAATAAGGATTGTCTTTTCTGTTTGGGTTTCTTTATTGCATTCGTTGTAAGCGCTTCATTTTTGACGGCTTTCTTCTATCGTACCTTGAGCATTAATCCACATCTAGTTCAAGTGCCAGTAGCACCGCCACACATCGCCGGCCATGTGAACGCTTTGCAAAATATGCAAAGTGATCACCCTTTGTAAGGGCTGTAAATGGGTGGCTGTTTGCGGAGAGATAGAAATAATTAGTAGTAGAGCTTTCACCGCCAGTTTGAGGGTGCTTGTTATGTGAAAGTTTGCGGCTGAGCTTTTGAACTGCAGTTGTGGATTATGTGTTGTGTTAAATTTTTTGTACTTCAGTTTGATCAGTCTATGTGCTTTGTAAATGTATGTATGTGTATGAGTTTATTTTCGGATAAGCATTCTTGTTCTTCCTCGCATATGTAGGTGTATGTAACGTAAGCTTTTTCTTGTTGGTATATCGACTTGCTAAAATTTGTCTTATTTTACTGTAAATTGTTAAGTTATTACTTTTCTAGTTTGTGGAGCACACAAATTTATGCTAATTGATAACATATACATACATACATACATACCACGCATATTTAATATAATTTGTCATTAGAAAGGCCACTATTCATGGCTAGCGGAAAAGGAGATGGAAGCAAAGTTATGTTTTGAATAAATTTATTGTGAAAAACTAGCAACCTAAATTAGTTTCTTATTAAAATTTTTTCGAGGTTGTTTCGGCGTCAGTATCTAAAGGCTGGCAGACTTCCTCTAGTTTCAGTTTCTTACTTCTTTGTTTTTTTTTTAATTTTTCTGTGGCGAATTCACCATTGTCATTTAATTTTAACACGTGAGATTTAGTTTTCTTTCGCGAGTTTTATTTTTGGTACCCCAATTTTTATTTTTTTTTTGCACCGGAGTTTCACTTTTTATTTTATACACGGGAATATCATTTTGTATTTATGTATGTATATTTTACTATATTATATATTTATTTATTTATTATATTTATTTATATTTTGTTTTCTATTTAATTTTTTACTCATATTTTTTGAACTACCATTTATATTAAGTGAAATTGCTCTTCTAATTTTCGTCAACTATTCCGAGGACCTTCCTTGTTGTTTCTGTTTCTTTAAAGTGCTCCGAGTACACTGTACATCTCACACGAAACTCACTTTTACCTTTCCTTTTTTTTTTTTTTGTTTGCCTACTCGAAAAACACTTCAGACACAATTCCTGGACAATGCACACAACAGTGACAATGAATACAACCAATTATCCTGAAGTACTATATCTTGTTGCATCATTACGCTGCTCATGGAAGTTGAGGTTTTCCAAAAAAGCAGCAACACATACAGACACAAAAGTTGATGGAGGTGAGCTGGCAACAGAATTGCAAGTGCGAATAATTTCTAGTTTTTTTTTTTTACTAACTCAAGTACTGAGCTTCACATACACATAGTATACGAAGTAAAAAAGCGTGCCTGCCACTTCTGAGAACTTTTCGTTTTTAGTTGTCGCACGTTCATTTTTCAGTAAACCAAAAGTGATATGAATGTACATATGTATTGAGAATGGAATGGAGAGGAGCAGTCAGGTAGAAAGGTAGTTGAAGCTGCAGCTGTAAATTGGTTGCCGCAACAACTGCAAAGGACTATACTCGTGAAACGACAGGCTGACAAGTGAAGCGGCGATACAAAATATTTGAGTTGGCATAAGAATTGTTAGAGATTATAATGCATATTGGAGTTTTAATGTAAAATGGGTGTTTTATTGCCTTAATTTGTCTGAACTAAACATCGACTCATTGTAACGAAAATCCCTTCAATTATAAGCATATTTCTTCTACTCCCTTCATCAGTACGTCAAGTTCCCGAATATAGGCCTACATTACTCCATCCTCAATAATGTTTTCTAAGCAGCCTGCTTGCATATGAATAGAGCTTAAGGAAGCTCCCGGGGAATGGAAAAGCATGGTAAATTGTTGACATCAAGTCGGGCCTAGAGTAAATATTTTCAACTGTAGGTTGATATAGAAAGTCCATGCCTCTGCTCAGCGGCTTTGATTATTGGCTGACATGCAATAACTGACTTTGAATGAATCGATGAATAGAAATCCGGCTGCTTGGAAATCATATAGCTATTTTGCGAAAAATCTGCAGAAATGCGCGAAAGACAATGCTTCAGTGAATATACAAACGATAGGAAGTGATCGTTAGCGGAGAAGCAGAATTTTTTTCTGGTCCAAAGATTATTGACCTCACCCACCAGATCCACTCTAATGTCAGTAAATTGAAGCTCACCAAGAATCATTAATTTTTTGTTAATGTAATAGTAGAATCTTTTAAGATATATTCTCATTGCCGAATGTATGTAGCACGTATCATCTAGTAAGGCAAAAAAAACGAATTTTATTTTCGAAATTGCCTTGCAGAAAACGTTTGGTTTTAAAGTGATACGATCTAATGTCCATAGATTTTTTTTTCTCCAAAAAAAAGGAAGCTTTTCAGGATATTTAGCACAACAAAAAAAAATTGTTTAATGATGATGCTATTGCTATTTATATGGAATATTTAAAATATAATATGTAAGTACTGATTGAAGTTATTGTACAGTGTTGACCACATAATTGGGGACCAACTATGTTCGAAAGTTTTTTTTTTTTTATATGAAATAGAAGTTTTCCTAGAAATCGATTAAAAAGTTGTTACTCCTACTGACCTTTTTTTTAAATTTGGTGAATTTGGTGAAGTTTATTAAGTACGCCGAGTTTGATAGAAATTGATGAAACGGTTACCGGGGAAAAAAAACTCATTTACGGTCATAAGGGGCGCCGCCATGCCCATTGTCCAAAAAATTATAATAATCTAATTTTCAGCTGAGTGGTTATTGCAATCATCGGCTTTAAGTGAAATAGCTTCAGCAGTTACGGATTTATTGTGTTTATGTAAATTACCGTTATATGGTAGGTGGGTGTGGTTATTGTCCGATTTCAAAGATTTTGAACAGATTCCTCAGCTAGACTCTATGCAAGTCTCGGAGGATTTGTGAAGCGGCTACTTACAGCATTTCATCATAAGTGGCCGCGGTCACGTCCACTTTCCCAAAATTACAAACAAATATTACTTTTTACCAAAACTCTACTTCACGTACTAATTTTCAACAATTTGGATCCAATTTTTACTGAAATATCGTAGTTCTTGTATTTTTCGAAAATACCGTTATATGGGAATTGGGCGTGGTTTTAGTCCCATTTGGCCTATTTCCAATACCAACCTAACTTGGATAAAAGGCCAACCTGCATGCCAAATTTCATAGAGATATCTAACTTTTTGCTCCAGTTATCGGGTACACGGACGGACGGACAGATAGATATGGCCTAATCGACTTCTATATTCATCTGACGATTTATGTATGCATTTGTCGTATATCTATCTCGATTCGTTTTGGCTGCTACAAACAACCGTTATGTGACCAAAGTTATAATACCTTTGTGCCCAAGCGCGTTCGGGTATAAAACTAATTGATCAAAACTTGTAAAGAGTAGTGTCCCTAATTATGTGGCCACCACTGTGTATTGGAATTTCGGGCAGTACTATCGAATTCGAGTTGTTAAAATTTGTTATTTCTATCGATAATTATTTTTTTTTGCGGAATTCGATAAATTTGTCGTTGGTGTAGCTGATATGTTTTTGTAAACATATACATATGAGTCAAGTTTTCTCAACTCGGTCCAAACTTAAGTATCAAGAATTATCAAATTATTATTATTTTTTTTTTGCTTTTCAGTTCCTTTGTATTATATCTTTTAAACTTAGTTCATTTTTATTTTTAAGAAGCTTTAAGTCAATCAAAGGCAGAGTAATTTTGTCTTATGCAAGTAAAATTGAACGTTTAGCGCAAACAATGCCTTTTAAATTCTTTTCTTAGCTATATGAGAAGCTAGTAAAAAAATAAATTTATGAAAAAAACATAATTTTTTATAAAACAATAATCGCCCATTTTAGTTTGTTGCCCAATAAGTTCTCTAACCGCTGTCAAAAAATCATAAGATTCGAATGAATGGTTGCCGAAATATTTCAGGCTTTTAGCCTGCTTAAAAATTTGTTTGCAAATAACTCTTAAAAAAAAAAATTAAAATTGGCGCAAAATCTTTGGTGTCAATATTGCACACCATGTTCACTTTCAAAATCGGTCAATGAAATATAGAAAATCGAAAAGTCAACTTTGGGGGTGGCCCACTTTGAGTAAACTTGACTCATATCTATTTATATATGTATAGGTGTAACTATGGATCCGAAACTAGAATTCAAGCCTCACATAAACTCCNTTTAAATAACGAACAAATTTTAAATTTTTTTATCGATGTGTTTCCTTATTAATGTACTTATCGACATTTTGCTCCGCATACAATGCTCTTTCGGAGGCGGCGTGAACGATTTAGATTCCTCCATTTGCGTGAGTACAGAAAACGCACACCAAAAAGCATAAAATTTTCATCACTTCATCAATGAACTTTTATAAAATTTATGAACAATTTAAGTTAATACATATATAAAGCTTTATTATCCTTAAACGAAATTATCAGTACCATATTTAAAAGCATTACATTTTTGCCTTCCGCACAGGTTCTTACAAATATTGCTGTCTTCTACTCTTTCTTGTTATGGGTCTCATGTGTTTCTGCTATACAAATTTATTTAAACTCCATTTCGTTATATAGTACATATAGTGTAACTACAGCAGTCCATCCACCCGTACAAACGAAGCCAGTTACCAAAGTCAAATGCATTTGCATTCTTACTTACTATTTGTTCATCATACGCCCCAACGCACAGCGCCAAGCTTCCTTTGCCATTTTAAATGCAAGCGTGATTGCCGATAGCTATGTAAATGCACATACATACATATGTATATGCATATTGACAAATACATATGCGCGTGTGTGTGTGTGTGTGACAATTGCATTTTAAATTTAATTTTATTTCATTCCATTCGATTCTGTATATGCATTTTGCTGCCACTTTTATTTCTCTTTTCTTATCTTCGGTCTTAATTTTATTTTGCTTCTATTCAAATTTTGTCGTGCAAGCAAAGCAAGTGCATTTCCTTTTGCATTAGTTGGCAATTTTCTAATTCACTTCTAAATGCATGCTAAATTTTTATTTTCTGTTCGAATTTTTATTCAAACT